GTTTGTAACAGAACGATGAAATTTCACCAGATTTTGAAAGTAAAATAGATCGATACCGCAATTTTAAAACACTATTTGATATCAGCATATGAAAATATATTTGAGTTTATTATTTTTCAAAGTGTCAGAAATGGATAACAAAACTGCTATTTTCAATGACTACTTATTTTTGTCCAGCTTTAACATCGGTATTGTTATCGGTTATCAGCATATCGGATATCGGCCAAAATCCCAATATATCGTGCATCCCTAGCCGATACCGATACCATCTGTTTGAAATTGATGTGTGTGAATATATGAAGAACTGCCCACTATTTGGATGTAAAATAATTGCCATCATGGCTTTTTCAAGCTGCTTCCTACCTTTGTTAAGAAGGAAAAAGACTAAAACAAAGTGAATCCATTAAAACATTTTATTGCCTTCCTGGAATGGGTGACATTCAGCCCAGTAAACAGCGTTGAGAACACAGAGGTCATATCCTTGGTATTTTCCCATTTTTTTTTAATTATTATTATTATTTTTAATTCAGAGAAATGTCAAAGTATATGATGAAAATTGTTCTGACTTTGATTGGTGTAAAGATCAGCATGCATTCTCATTTGTTAGAAAAAAAAATGTAAGTTCACAATCGGGTGACCAGACTTCCTCTTTTCCCTGACATGTCCTACTTTCCAAAATTTCTGGGGGGGATTTCAAAATTGTCCATGATTTTGGTTGAATACAATGCAGCGTGTAGTCGTAAAAACACTGGGCACTCGAACCAAGCCGTCAGCACCGGGGCTGGAACCCTGGTGGATGGGGGCCGGGAGCAAGCGGAGGTAACAGAGGTTTCGTCAGCGTTTTGAGTCTGTGTTTTTTTTCCTCTCTTGCGCTGCTCCCGTGTCCCGCATCTCGATGTAACATCATCAGATCTGTCAGATCTTGACTTCCCAGAGGTCCATGACTCCCAGTTACAAGTTAAACTTAACATGTTTTCTTATTAAAAAGACAGACTGCAGAGCTTCTACATATGTTGAAATTTTGTTTCTAGCATCGTCATATTAGTAAATAAGTTCATAAACCTTTTTAAACAGAGAGAAATAGGGAGAGCTGCAGATTCAAAGATGAAACAGATTTATATACATACATATACATATGTATAT